ATGTATTATTAAATGTTCGTATTTTTGGGTGGAATTCACTGAGCATAAACGTCCAATACTTTACCAACGATTTCTGTTTTTGTTTTTTTTTTGTGTTTTATAGAACTGCAAAGGACATCGTCGTTCCCATTTGTACAATTCTGGGACCGGACCAAATAAGCGAAGCTATACGCGCTCACCGCTCGTGTGTGTGTCATTCCGGGCGTTCCACGGCGAGTGCATTCCGACGGATAATTTCGAGAGACTAACCTTGTGATAGTGGTCGGAGTACGAACACGCGAGGGATGGAAAAATGCGTTTTAAAAATTTGTCGGTATACATATACGGTATAATAACCGTACATGACGTGCGCAGTTGGTTACTGGGTATAAAAACGACAAAAAAAAAAAAAAAAACAAAAGTCGATCCCATTTCACGGCTCGAGCAAAAGCTTTAACGATAAAAAGACCATGGTCCCTCTCTCTCTCTCTCTCTCTCTCCCTCTCATACACTCACACACACGCTCGCGCGCCAGCGTATAAGCTCGCACAAGCGCACATTTTCTCGCGGTGGTGTATATAAGTAAAATTTATGGCTAAAAGATCTCCGGCGGCGGTGATATTATCTTTATAGTCCCTCGGTTCACGCGCGCTGTCCGTTGTTATTATATCAAAAGTTGGCAACATCCTCCCCGCCCGCCGCCGCAGAAGCAACACCCCTTGCGCGAACACCGCGGCGCCCCCTCGACACCCCCTCCCCCCTCTCACCGTCGCCACCGACCACAGAGCCATAATAAACACCATCTCGCCGAAAATAACACCGGAGCACGAAACAACAGCAGCTATATGTATAATATATACTGCGGTGTATATAGAAGCTAGCCAGCCGCCGTTACCCTCAATAATTTCGCGTCTCTCGCCGTTCCGCGGCCTCTCACTCACACCGCCGTCCACCGCCCCCGTGCATTTATTTTCTGTTTCCTTTGCGGGTTTTTTCTTCTGCTCTATATTGAATTTTTTCTTCTCTAAAAAATTTTCCCATTCATTACGCACTCGCGAGTGGATATTATACGCAACGCATAAGTGTATTTCATTACCACCGTGACGGCGGGTGGGCCAGCGGAGCCTTTCTCCGACATCCTAGCGGTTCTTGAATTTCAATTCCATTTGAAAATTTCGAACATAATTATGCACATTAACCGCCGCCTCCGCCCCTGTTTTATATTCATCGAGTGCACCGTCTGGCGAAACAGCCCCTCTAACCGCCTTCTACCCCCCTCTTCATCACCATTCTGCGCTCTCTCAGCGGGGAACCGATGACGTTATAATATTATACAGTCAATGTAAGTGTGTATGTGCTCGTACGCTCATAATACACAGTGCTATATAATATAGCCCGTGTATATATAATATATTTATATATATATATATATTAAGTGTAAACGTTGGGTTCAGCGGAAGCTGGGACGAAAAAATAATACGCACTTAAAATAAATTGGAGGTAGATACAAAATCCCATTATTTATCGTGGCGACGACATAAATACGAAATATTTTGCCGATAGCGTATAGCATGGTTGTGGTGTATACAACCTTATACCTGTAATTTATTTTTCCGTTTTCATTTTTACTCCAAAATGCCAATGAAAAAGTAATATCCGAACGATTACGAATTCGAAAGGTGCGTGACAAGGTGCTAAGGAAAACGTCGAAAAAAGCTGTATGCAATTGATGGAAAAACTCAACAATTTAATTTTTTTTTTTGTCACTGAGAAGAAAACTGAAAATATTCAAGAATATTTAATCTAAAACTATATTGTTTACCGGAACACAATAACAGTGATTCGTCAGTTCTTGTCTAAAACAGGACAATAGAATAATTGCTACATTTTACCTGTATAACTGTGATGCAGACCATGTGTTATAAAAAAACATTTGGGTATATGTACAATTACATGTTTATTGTTTGGTCAAGCATTATAACTTGGTAAATAAGTACCTATACAGTTAAATCCGTAGCAACCTGAAAATTTTCGGTTGATGACATCTTGTCCACTATTTAGAGGTGTCAGCAATTCAGAGCGTTCAGATTACAAAAAGTTTGAAGTTTCTTCCAAAGAAAATATCTGTTACTTGGACTTGTCCGCTATGCAGAGGTGTTTGTTTGGAGAGGTTTCTTTGTGTATAGGTTTGTATTACGATATAATAGCATTAAAAGTTCAAGAGCTTACTATAGAATAACAAAGTTAACGAATACCTAGCAATATAAATTGTAAAAATATTTAATATAAATTAAAATGTGCTTGGACTTATACAAACATTTATATTAAGTTATTTGAATAGTTAGAGGTTAAGTATTATTATATAAAACCATTTTTACATCAGTTACAACTAACAACATTACAAATAGAAAAATGTTAACAAATTATTGAATATTAAAAAAATATAAATACAAACATTTTTTTCCAACAAAAAGTGATTAATATTGTTAAATGTCTTTTTCCTAATTTATAGATTCAAACAAACATAATGATAAAATTAATTTTTATATTGTGTGTTCAATATTAAACACAAATTTAGGTTAGGTTAAAAAAAAAATAGTGATCAACATCTCTTGGACAGTGTTTAATTAAAAATAATATACACTATGAATATAAAGACGTTTTAAACTATTTAATATTGTGTTTCTTTGATAATGTAACAATATTCATGGTATTTTTTACTCGTGAATGAAAATTTTACGACATGTAGAAAAATGTTGATACTTTCAATTATTGTACATCTGTATCAATCCATTCCGATTTACTATTCAGATAACTCCTTACTTACGTAGGAAATTATATTAGTATTATTTTACAAATGGAATGAAAAAATAAATTATTTTTGGCACAATGTAACATGATATTATCTTTAACATTTTTATTTCAAACACATTACACTGGTATTTCTAGAGACAGCTATAATATACTATATATTATATATTTGGGATCTTAATTTTCAATATACTTCAATTTCTCTGTTCGCAACCTGCTTCTTCGGAACAGAAATATACCATGTACATGTGCAGTTTCGTAGAGTTTTATATTACTAGTCTCTATTTTGAAACCATATTTTTTAAACGTTGTCAATGAAAAATGTTTCATTTGATACTAATAGGCGTATAACTAACTGTTTACTTAATCGAGACCAGTATTCAATTATTGCGTTTACGGAAGGAACTTAAAATTATCAAAGGTAATAAAAAAAAAATATATAAACAACAAGAGATAAAATCCGTTTTAAAAAGTGTATTTACATTTTATATTTTTACATAAATGTTTCATGGATATAATAATGGTATATATAAATAAATATATATTTAAATATATTTATTTATTTAAAAGTATACATTTATTTTTAGGTGACAATATTACAAGTAGGTAACATAATATAACAAAAAAATGTAAGTAGTTTTCACATTTAAATAGATAACGTTGATTATAGCATAAAGATAAATATTTTTTTTTTTATGAATAATGTAAATTTAGAAATGTGTTAGCTAAAATTAAAATTAGACTAAAGAATAGTAAAGTGTCGTAAACAACAAAAGTTCTGTACAGAAATCAACAGTATCGAGGTGTTAAAAACAAGTCTAAACGAGACACGTTTAAAAACTATACTATGTATACCTATGGTGTACTTAAATATCCTCAGATGAAAAAATAAATGTATTACACTAGACAGTAAGTCATCAGGTTTTACAACGTATTGTGTAAAAGCTAGACTCCACTTTTTCTAAATTCAACTAAAATCTGAAAATAATAATTGCCTATTCATAAAATCCAAATTGACTATATCCCATATAACATAATAAGTTATAACTTATAAAGTTATAACGTACAACCGACCCGTCAAATATTTGATAAAAATATTAAATATATATTGTTATTGCAAAATTAACGAAATAATATTATGGTAACAAAAATTTTGGAATGATACATACAATAATTATACAATAGTACAGTACAAAAAAAATTGATAATATTAATGAAAAAAAAAAAAATATATTTTTACTGATCAAATGTTTGTCAATTTTGAGGAATCGTCAAACAATAATATGATAGCCTAAGTCAAAATGAGTCATTGCAGATAGTTGGTCATAAACAACACTATATGGAATTTAAAATGTATCATAATAATGTACTCAAATGCGATATTGTATTTACAATTTTAAGCTAGTTCTATTTTATAATTAAATGATTATAATTTTTGCGATTTTTTTCAATATTATATCATTATTTTTATAAATTGTCTATACATTTTATAATGCGTGTAATATTATCGCACTGTTTTATTCTGTAGATATTAATTATCTTGCACATTCTCTCACATATTTTGTACATACCTAATAATGCAATATTATGATTTTCATCGATGCAACTTGATATCCGTCAATTTAAGTTCTTGAAACAAATTATTCCTTAGCTGACATGACAACATGGCAAACTATGTATAAAATATTTTAACATTAAGACAGAATCAAGCCTCTCTGAGGAGTTATCGAAACGTCCAATACAGATGTTGTACAAAAACCAATGATAATGAAACTATAGGAACCTATTTTGATAGTTTTGTCTGACAACTATTAATAACATCATTTTGTACACGGTTAATAATGTCTGTTTATATTAAATGCATATTCGTATGGTAAACAGTAGAAATGTTTCCGATTAACTTAAAATAATATTATTTATGAGTTTATGACACGTTTCGACTTCAAACGGAAAATAATATACAAAACATTAAAAACTTTTATTCAATTTACACATGCGTTCAACATTATATTTTATGGATACAATCTGTATATTTTCTCGAGAATATTAATTAATTACACGAACTTGACATTCATTGTTGCAGGTTATAAAATAGTTTTCAGATATTGTTATATGAGAGTATTATTTAAATTGAATTCAATAAATCGATTTAATATATTTAAAACGTAAGCACACGTCTTATTTTTAATGATTTATTGTAAATAGTTTATATATTATATTATCCTTATATGATAGGTTGCAAATTATATTTTATTAACAAATTTAAATATTTATTTCCATTTTTTCTAGCTTATCAATATTATACTACATACAATAAATCCAATGATGGTTGAAAATGTGGTTAGAGAAATCGTATAAACAAAAAAAACCATGTGATGGCGCATTATACGACTTAACAAAATGCACGTGGACTAGTCTTGATCGGTAAAAACAATAAGTACGCCTTATCATTTTTTTTTTTTTTTAATAGGTAACAACAATTAACTATGAATTAAATTACAAATATTTATATAGGTTATATATTATTAAATTTAATATAATATAATATCTAGTTGTATGGAACAACGATGTATAGTATTTACACAAAAGATAAACGACAACCAAGACACTTGTCATACTTGTTGACTTGTACTCACAAACCTGTAACTTTTAGGATGAGAAATTAATTTATATGAAAGTATAGAGGTAAATAGGGAAAGGTATATAAGCGCTTTAGGTAATCAGCACCACAGTGTTTGCTCATTGCAAAACATGTAAACATAATGTGGTCAAAAAATGGAAAAATATGGAATTATTTTTAAAACGCTCGACTTACATCAAACACGTTTTTGTTTCTTACGCGTTGGTAGTAAAACAAAAAAAAAACCGAATTTCAACCGAATTATTATTATTTAAAGGTTAATAAGATGGCGAGTCTTTTAACGGTCCCTCACAAAGGCCTGAACTTTCAATAAAAAGTTTAAAGGTTTAAAAAGCTCTTTGAAAAAATAGCACGAACTCTCTAATTGATACCACGGATACCACGTTTGTGTACACGAATTCGCTTTGAACGAGGCATTTTTGTGTTTGAAGTTCAGGCCATTATTATGCGGTGGGGTCCAAGACAACCAGGCGACAACAATGAAAAAAATGCCATTTTAGAAAAAAAAAAATAATAAATGGAAAAGTTTTTCATCCTAATTGCACATTATTGATTATAAATTTAATGTTTTATCTTTGGTATTTAATCGAGGTTTTACTTAAATCTTCAGCTTAATTGTACACTTCGAAGTAATATACAGCAGATATGATCAATATTATGGCACAATGGTCGTTGATGGCAGCACCTAAAAACAGAAAAGATCATACACATGAAATCGTCTTCTATGCTCAATAGGGTCACATGGATATATCATTATGAATTAATATCTGACACGAATTGTATACAATATATTATAATAGGCTCTTCAATAAAAAAATTAAGTAACTGTTTTCATATTACTAAAAAAAGTAAAATGTTTTGAAGAAAACTTAATTATTTATGAAAAAGTGCGTTGTAGATTATTATTTTGTCTAACAGAAAATTTAAATTAGAAAAACGTTGACCAAATATTTTATGCTATTATAATGGGTAAGGAATTCGGTTATTACTTATTAATCGCTCAACTCACCTGAATACATGATAGTGAAGCATAAAGATAAATTAACATTTTATTAAAATACGAAATGGAAGATATATTTATAATCAGTTTAAGCATACATTCAAATATTATAAAATCAATGAATGTTTGCTTAAAGTTATTTTTTTGTATTTAGTAAAGCCGTACTAAACACGAGTAGTTGAGTGTATCTATATGAATTTATATGAACATATTTATAAATATTTGTTTCAATGATATATTTTTGTTTCAAATAAAGAAATAAAACGAATTAAAAACAATTTTTACTGCTCAGAGATATATTGATTTTGTTATTAATTTGTCTTGCAACAATTAAATCTATATTTTAAATAATAATTATAATGTAATAAAAATGTTTCAAGACAATAACGTTTTGATAGTAGCAATCTTTTATAATTAAAATCAAACACATTCAACAATAAATCAGTTACTTACAATTCCTTTAAATGCAGACAAAATATTATTTTCTGCCACTTAAAATTATTATTAGTGCATGCTGACAATAATTACACTTTAACAATTTAATTTAATATTGTATTTTACAAAGTAGAAATGTTATGTGGTGTAGAAAAATTTTATATTTTATTTAAGTTTAATGATTATATAAACTTTTGGATAGGAACAAATTACTAAGTTTCCTAGACTAAATTATAGATCGAGTAAGTAGAGACAATAACTAATGATATTGGTCGCGATACATAGCCAGCCGTAATCCGTATTTCTACTAAAGCACTTATTTTAATTGCCATGTGTATATACATTTATAGGGAAAACTACAAGAAATAATAACAACTATAAACTTTATTTAAATCAAATAAATCAAAGCAAAATTATTAAACTTCCCTCCCCAGAGCATGGGTTGTATGTGTTTATAATTTAATATGATTTGGATTGATAAGTACAACAAACTGACATTTTTTTTTAATCATTTTATTTTAAACGTATGGTGGTACAAAAAAATTACATGTATAATATGCACCATACACAGTAATATAATGTTTTAATTAACAGAATACAAAAGTATTTACGAAAATATATTAATTAAAAAGTATAATATAATCGGTTGTAAAAAATGACTCTCAGTTTGGTGTTCAAAATTGGAACGGATTCGTTGTTTAAACCGTGCAATTATAAACGTATACCGTAAATCATTTTCACGTATCAAAACTCGATATCTTCGACGAAATAATTGCGAGTGTTGGATAAAATAATGTGTGCAAAAGGTTCTGATTATTTATTTGTGTATAACAATTACTCGTAGTATTATAAGTAGGAATATTATTAGGTATGAGAGCTATGGTTATATTTCGCGTCGATAAATGAAACATTACGATAGTAATGAAATTATTAACGGCACATTTCACTGCGGTTAATAAATTATCGTTAAAAAATAACAGTATTACCATAACTCCGTAACTGCTTCGTGGGTATAATGTTTTTTTTTTTTTTAATTATCTTCAAACTTATTAATTAATAATAATTTATCTAATTTTAAATACACAACTCCTAAATACATAGTTTACTTAGTATAACAACTTATATTGAGGTATAATTAATAATAATAATTGTATTAACTATAATGAGCATCTGATTCACCTAAATAACATACGTTTTAGTTATAGAAAAAAATATCCGTCCTGCAATAAATTCCTTTATGGAAACCCCGAAGGTTTAACATATTTACCGACAGATTTTTGTAAACATACACATGATTTTAACAAAAAAAGTTACGTACCAAATACAAAAAACAACCAAGAAATTATAATATGTATTATAAAAAAAATAATTGTTTTTCATATTTAATCATACGAAAAAATATGGCGAAAAAAACGTTATGTAAAAATTGAAAAAAAAAATGAATGGCCTTTGAGCTATGAAGAAGCTGAAGTTCTGATTTGATGAAAATATAAAATATTTATAATATACCTTCACTATTTGTGTATTATTCAAAATTACACTTGAAAATATTTCCCTTAATAAATACCTAAATAATGTATGTACATTTTTATTTAGTTGCAGTAATAATTAAATTAGTTTTGATTTTCATATTTCAGCAGATACATTTAAATATAACCAGTGCTAATTGTTTGCTATTGTAAATCAAATAACAATAAATAATTATTAATAAACGTATACATTTTAGCAAAGTTGTGTGTATTAGTATAATTATACATATTATCTAATTATTTTTTGATTAATGATTATATATTATGAATAAATTCAATGATATTCAAGAAATGTACCTATTTAAGTTGCAAATAGGAATAATCAAATATATTTGATTGAATGAAAACTGTGTTGCATATGAACATATTACAATGAAAATATTTCATGCTCGCAATAATATTGACTAATGGTAATAATGGTTTTTAGTTATACCTATTATAAGAATAAAGGTTATGATAATTATTACACAAACTAGCTGACTATACCTATTGAAGTACTCTCCACATAATACTAGAATTTATAATATACTGTGCGAGAACATGATATAATGTTTTTTATTTTTTTTATTTTTTATTTTAATTAGTGTTGGCAGTTTTCGAATCCATCAGGCCTAAAATTGTGTAAACTAGCACACACTATGTGCAGTAGCAAATATTAATTTTGTAGTAGCAAACTTAAGAGTGTGCAGTACTTTTTTTTAGCTTTTATAAATTATATTTGATTTATTTTCAATATTGATTATTGAATGCTAAAAGATAAAAAAAGGCATGATAAAGAACACCCAAATTCAGTAAAACAGGAATGGTTTTCAGGGGTTTTCTCTGAAGCCTCTAAAACTATTTCTTTTTCTGACCAAAGTTGTGCAAAAGTTGGTTTTTAAATAAATTTACATAGTTATTAGAAGTATAATATTTTTTTAACTATTGTTCCTATTGAAGTAGGTATTTGTGACAATTAAATTGTTTGATAATATAGTAAGTATATTAACCTTAGCTATTTAATTTTTAATTTTAAAATGTTGAGTCATATAGCTTTATAGGTATCAAGGAGTAAGGACTTTTATAGAAGATTGTCTTAGATTGTATTTAGTATAATTAATTATTAATAAATATCAAAAACAATTGTGCGACAAAGTGCAGTGGCATACACAGATATATTCAATGTAGAGGGGGGGATATAATAATTATGATACGTATATATATATATTTATCAAAATATGTCATTTAACAATTTTTAACCATTTTCGTATATTTAAAAAGTAAAAGGAGGGACCCCCCCCCCCGTGTGTGTGTACGCCGCTGACGAAGTGATATTATGTAGTATGTTCATTATCTTGAAATATTTTGGTGTGGTATTAGGTGTGCAGTAGCAAAATATCTTAATTTTAGGCCCTGGAATCCGTTACATTAAAAACGCCCTTTGAAATTCAAACGATTACTTAAGGGTATGATTGCGAACGAAAACAAACAAAATAAATAATAATGATATTTATTTACCAGAATTAAGAATGTGCCTCTCCTGTGATAGGGTCTGATCGGGTACGAGACGCAGCCGCACACTCGTCTCGTCTGTCTTGGGCTCAGCTCCTGCCACTTTTGCAGAGCATTTGACATACATAAGTTTTTTGTTCATGTCCACCCATTCCTTTTTGAGCGGAAACCGCAGGCCCAACGTGGAGTTGTAGAACGGCCCTTCGGATACTTCAGGAGCGTAACGCTCGAGCAGGTAACTGTCCACCTGAAACGTCATAAGATTTCGTTTGAATAATAATTATCGTCATGGAATAACAGTAGTATGTTATTAAGGTCAAGTTGGAATATTGTAAATTTATGAGCACACGTCACTCAAAAATAATACGCTCCAAAAGAAAGGGGTTTTATATGCATAAATTCATAAAGCCAATCGTTTTGTGTTTTAATTACTCAAAAAAAAAAAAAATGTATACTAATTTGGGGTGAATGAACTATATTGTTATGTTCTCATAAAATCATTCGATGGAACGCACGACATTAATTTCCGTGACAACGTAATTGACAAATAGTATGTACTGTATTATAATATTATAACGATTATGACAAAAAAAAAAAAAAATATTGACGATTGGATAATCCAATTGCTTTTTTGACGGTAAAATAATTGAATTTGAAGGAAAGAAAATCGTGTTCTTTGATGCCACGAATTGTTGAAATTGTGTTTTCAACGTCTTGTGCACAGGAACCAAAATAAAAAATACGATTGTACCTACTAATATTATGCTACCATGTTGTTTGATATTGAGGTAATATGAGTATATCGATAACAAACAATAATAAAATAACTAAAATAATTATATCTTGTGTAAATAATGTTTTTTTTTTTTTTACAATCGACCCTGTAATTATTATGATAACCCCTGCAGGTAAAACAATTCAATAATAGAAATAGAAATTGTGCTAATACATATCGTATTAATATTATTTATCATATTCGCGTAACTATAGTAATACCATTGGTTATTTGATTATAAATTCAATGCCAGTACTGATACTAAAAATATACAATACTAGTATTCATAATCAATGGTAATACCAAATATTATACAAGTACAGAAATAAATTTTAATTTAAACTCATCACGAGTTAATGTTTGAATGTTATGTATTATTATATATGATGTATTATACGGTATACGTGTATTTGTTTTGACAATTTAAATTATTGTTATGGCGTCATATTATAGCTCGCGCATAATAACCTACCGTCAAAAAATTATTATGATTATTTCGGAACAAGTTTTCGTAATTTTTAAAACTCGTCCATTAACGCACACGCGTACGCGATATAATAATAATATATAATAATATAATATTATAACCAGATATAGTAATAATATTACTATTACTATGCGCATTACTCGAACGAACATAAACACATTTTAAAATGTACGCCCGACGACGTTCAATTAAAAACGTATTAACGACGCGAGGGAACCCCCCCCCCCATCGCCTTAGTTTTGTAACATGTTTACTGCATTACACCAAATTGCAGTTCGGCGGATCGCAGCGGAACATAGGGCTACACGTTGGATTTTGGCATAGTACGATGTGTTTAAACGCGTGGGGACATGACATCAAAGGTCGGAGCGGCGATAACAAAACTTTACCTACCCGCCAACCTACCAGCGTTTACCCACCCCTACCGTGGTTGCTGTTAATAATAATATAGCACAACAATAACGATAGGGTAAGCCGTGAGCGTATAATATTATATTGTTATTTCTGAATTCAGCCGATGTATAGGTACACGATACCGGATAATTTGATTGCACATAGTGAACTATTATTATTACGTGGAATAGGTACCGTTATTATAATTAATTCATTTATAATCGTTCCATAATAATATTATGTAGGCAATATAATGTTAGAAAAACACTCATATTGTCTGATGGCAGTATGCTTGGGCTTTGTACGGGTTAATTTCAGATCGATTCGAGCTGATTCCATCGCAGAATGTATACCAAGAACAGCAGCAACCGCATATTATTATAGCTGTGGACAAAAAAAAAATAACGTTTTTCCAGGGTTTCCAGGGTATCCGGGTAGAAAATTACAAGTCAAGAGAAAGATCCCGCACGATCGTTGTCCAAATGTTATTCATTATTATAGGTAACTGTAAGAATTACGTTTTCGTAGATATTTTAATTAAAGTGAAATCTAGTTTGTATGCTATTCGAATTGTTATTTGTCTTATAATATTTACATACGCACATTGCGTATGTATAAACTTCATATGTACTCCAAATTAATATCTAAACTATCCATTTAAATAGTGGAGTACTATCGTGGTTAGTGATACAAACGCTAAAATGTGGTATATTTTACAAAGAGTTGATGTTCTTATTTAGATAGTTTTAGAACAATACATACCAACATTTAAAATAGAAATCCATTATCGATATTTGCGTTTCTTACGAGAATACCTTCGTATTCGTTTATTAAAATAGAAAAATAATCATAGTTATTGAATAATATTAGGTTTCTACTAAGACGGCAATACAAATTAAAGTCATGACAAACAACTAACGCTGTTAAGATGCCTGCATTTTAACCTAATTTTAAAAATTAGTGTCATAAAAAACAATGAAGTTTAATTTATTTAGAACTGTGATCAATAATTTAACAAGTGTTTTTGTATTTTTTTTTTTTTAAATAGTGGCCAATGCTGAACAAATATCAATAATTTTAATATTAAAGCAAATAAATGATGTAATTAAAAAATGTTTTTAAAAATTAAAAATCGACTGAAAAACCTCGAATTAAAAATATTCCTATATGAAAATAAAGTCTGTTGCTATAATATGTTTTCAATAAGAATATAACTGTTAGGTAACACAAATACACAAATAAGAAGACACGTATCTATAGGACAACGGCATTAATAGATGAATAACGTGCATGTAAAAAACTACTAATAATAGTTTTTATGCAAAATATTGATTAAGTACACGTAAGACAAATATTTGTCAGCATCTTTGATGGACCAACGTACACACAGCGCAAATAATTACAGTAGAAATCGTTTAAATGACACTGGTTGTAGTGACATATTGGGTTTTATGACATTAAATCAAAGGGCCGGAAAAAACGAATAGGTAACTTTTGTATGTTACATTTTATCGATTATAATGATGGAACATTATGTCTTTAATACAGACATAACAATTTTGTGTTTGTGAAAAAAAAGTATAAGATAATATAAATTGAAACAAAATATGTATAGTAATAATTTTAAATGAAAGACTTACTTTTATTTTGAAATATTACCTTATAGTTCAACTTAAGCCGATTGAATTTATTATGACATCCAAAAACAGTTAATATTTTCAAGAAGAATTTTGAAATCGATTAACTTGTTTAATTTACATACTATCTAGATAATATTATAACTATTATAACTTATACGCTTATATAAAAGCTGCTTTTATTTTTTTGAACAAATCGAAATGTTGGATACTAAAAACCATTTCATTTAAAATTTAATTCGAAATATACAGCACATTAGTCAAATACGAAATATCATCAGTTTCTCGAAATATGAGTTAAGTTTAGTAAAAGTTTCCAACGAAAACTTGCCAAAAATATTTTTTTTCCGAAAACACTTAATGTTGTTTTTTTGTCTAAGAGAAATCAAATTGTTGGACACCTGTTTATGGTCCCGTGGGAATGGTTAAATGAACACATTTCGAGCATCAAATTACATAGCTAGTAAATTACTTAAGAAAAAAAGTTTCGTATCGTGGTAAGGAGGCAGTCGTTGAAAGTTGCGGTTATTTGTCAAATCGTACAGAAGGTCGAAAAAATAAAGAAATACAATAATAAAAACAAGGAAATGCGAACAAAAATTATGTCTGGTGTCTGGTAAACCGCTTCATGGACGTTTTTATGTTAAAACAGTGTTCAATTACTTTTTTGAAAATGTCGATGTATACTAAATTTAAATTCTAGCGAGTAGTGTATGACTTATTTTTACATACTTTATAATTTGTACAAATCGTTTGTGTATAATAAACTATTGCTAGATTATAATATATAACAAATATACATATTTTTTTTAAACCTTTACTTTTAATTACTACCTACCGTCTTTAGTATTGAAACAGTGGCACAATCTTTGAGCTTCATATATAACGTGAATACGGGGTTTTAATGGGGTATATTTTTAAATACAATAGAGAGAGAGAGAGAGAGAGAGAGAGAGAGAGAAAGAGACAAGAATATACCGGCTGATTGGACCCAAGGAGGTATCTAGCATGGGTAATAATTATCCCTTATCGTCGACCATGCAGGCCCATCGCTAATTACAATGTGTGATGAATATATTATATGGGTTTGTACAATGTGGATGGGGTTACGCTGTATTTGTGCCCGCTCAAGCAAGTGCTAACTATGAGATACAGCGATGGCTCGGAAACGTATGTAAAATAGGCTCGTCTGTTGGCAGGTGAGTGGTAGATCCGATAACGGCTGTTTTGTGGTCGGTCTTGGAGTAAGATAACACTTCTTCTTCGGCGTTTCCAAAGTTCTTCGGTGCCCAATTGCTCGTCCAGGCTTTCTGCAAGTGATTCGGTCCGCGAGGTCCGATTGTCAAAGGCGGTGGTCGGTGTCTTTCCGATGGCGGGGATACTTGGCCGGTTGTAGCTGCTTCGATTCGCCAAAGTCTTTGACTAGTTATCCAAAACTATATAACCACTGGTTGTCGTGTGTCCATAACGAGCTGTGAACAGCTGTTGTCGAGGAAAACGGCCGTCCTACAATATGACGTTATGATGTCATCGAAAGGTGGTCGGACGTTTGTCGTCATCTGAACGGTAATCACTACTTACTTCGGTATGATAACTCCTACTATAGCTGGGGGCAACTTGAGTCATTCTGGATAATATTATTTGTCTCTGTTCTTTTGATTCTTTGTGTGTTTCAATACACACTATCTCGAAGAGTATTGATTAAAAGTTTGAGAAGAAACGACTCTTCTGGATTCAATTTCATTGCTTGTATATGATGGTGTCTTAGAAGCCTACGGAATTGTGTCTGGTGTTTGCTATGACCAGTAGTTGTTGCAGTAGGTTATATTATAGTAATAAACCAGTATAATGCTGTTCCTGCGACACTAACCATCATAGGTTTTAAAAGTGGTCATAATTAGCAATATAATTGCGTAGTAAAATATGATTTTTTCAGTTCTTAATTATTACTTATT